CCGGCCCCCGGGACGGAGGTTTCTGTCACCACTGACTTCCTCTCCCGCCAGAGTCCGTCTCTCCCACACTGAACCAATTAACTCTCAACCAATCACCGTCGCTGCACGGAGCAAGCCGCAAACCGTATGGGGTCGCTTCTGTACGTCAGACGGCTGAACGTTTAAAACTTTCATAACTTCAACGCTTTGCGGTGAATGGAAAGTGTGAATTTTGTGCTATGTAAAGCAACAATTTCATAGTATTATCTTTTCCTATCTTTCAGATGGTCATTCAAATCCTTTACCCACAATTTTATGTTCCTTGATGCAGATTTCTGAGTTCTAGACGTTCTTCGTCGATCTGAATATGTAACAGCAAAAGCACAAGCGACGTCTAGCGACAACTTGTGGTACAACAGATTTGAGGGAAATATTTGAGGGAAACGAGTAAAGCCGTTCTTGAGTTATCTTGGTGACGAACAGACGACAGACAAACCAGTGCCTAAAACATAACCTTGATTTTTCATGGAGGTACAAGTCCGCACAAGGGCCTAAGACAAGAGACAAGTGATGTATACACAGAAAGAGCGCTAGCTAGGCCAGGGATAGGAAATTTAAAACAAAATGCATTGTATACTCAAAGGTGCTTTCGTAGCGTTCGCTTAATTTTACTGTGGCAGATATTATAATATCTTATTTTTAGAATTCATAACTTCCAGCCTCAGACATTTGTATGCTGAACTGGTTTGTTTATACGAACATTTGACGAAGCAATTTCAAACAGTATACACAGAAAGAGCGTTAGGACTGGGTTCTAATATGGTGACATTTAAAAAATCCGTTGTATGCTCAAAGACGCTTCCACACCGTGCAATAAATTTTTCGTAACTTCCAGCCTTAGCAGATACAGTATTAGAAAAGGAATTTCCTCCAACCTGAGTCTCGGTGAGTTTGAGCTGGTTTGACAGCTCCAGTCGTCTGGACTTTAAAGCTAATCTAGTTTGAATCGGTTCAAATTCACAACAAACTAACCTGAGTCTCGGTGAGTTTGAGCTGGTTTGACAGCTCCAGTCGTTTGGTGACAGACAGGTATTTGTTCTTCTGGAACTCGCCCTCCAGTTCCTTGATCTGCTCTGCCGTGAAGGCCGTACGGGGGCGCTTCTTCCCTTCAGCATGACTGAGGAGCCGAGGGGGAGGGGAGTCCGGCCGACTGTCGTCTGACAACAACAAAAACATGATGGTGTTAGTGTTAATGTCAGCGATACTTCTATTGGAGATTACTTGATAGTGAGGTTAAATATGGCAATATACTGCTCTACAAACCCAGCATAACTCAAATAAAGCATTTAGGCATTATTAGCAGCACAGCAACTTGAGCTAGCCTGGTATCCAATGCACGTGATTTGGGGGTGTTTGGGGGTGTTCAGGCAGGCTGTGTCTTCGGGGGCTCTAATAGCTTCCCCCGCCCAGTGCAACAGGCCGTCCCGGTACTAGGAGTGTTACGCTAATCAGAGACAGTATGCTTGGGGATTTGTGTTCCCCATGTTCGTGGAGGACTAATCAATCTCTCGTGAAATACACACCGGGAAACCAATGTGAGGCGGGCGGGACAGAGCTCTTGTGGCCCCGACCACGATCAGACTTGATACGAGGCTACAGCACAGCAATTGTCCGTATTCCTTGTGCTTCATGTACTGTACCTACAAAACCGAATGGTGTTTGCCTATTACATATCTTTACCCTGAATTTGATTTTATTCAGTATAAAATTTTCCGGATCTTTTTCGTTGTTTGGGGTCGCTGGGATACAACCTGCAATACAGATTGTTCCGGTAGAGGGTGTTGCTGATCTGGCATGCCCACACTTCTTAATTAACAACAATAAGTTTTATTGAAAATTGTTGCCCTAGGGCTAATTACAAATGACTGAAGAAGAACAAACAAGGCACAAACAAACAAGGAAACACAATACATACATAGCATGTCAGTACTCTAGTCTAAAACATTGTAATGGTAACTTGTTAGGTTTTCTTCTCGTTGTGAGACACTGGGAAAATCTGTAATGTGTGGGTTTTGTTCAAAGGTAAAACGTATCAACCTGGATTCCTATTATTTGAATACAATAATATGGCGGTAATAAACAACAACTTATGAAATACATGATACATAGTGATAGGGACTATCCAACAATGTTTGGGGACTATCCGTTTCATATACATATATATATCCAAAGAAGGAAAGAAGGACATTATCCAGTAAAAAGTGAAAAGTGTGTATCCCGCTGACATCATAAAGGCGGTTATACCGGCTATACAGATACAGATACAGATCTAGAAGAAAGGAAATTCCCACTAAATTGCCGTTTTCCGTCAGTATATGTTTTAAAACAGCCTTGCAAGAAATCTTCACGTCCAGTGAGAAAATACCGCGATTTAACGAAGCGTTGAAAGATGTAAATCTTTCACACGGAAACTTTACGACGTAATCCCCTGGAAAAAATACCAAACAAAGCGCCGACCAATCAGAGTCCTTCGAACACCTGTTACTCTAGCTGCCATGTTCCTGGCTGCCATGGCAACGTCACGGGAAACGGAAATGGGCGTGATTGACATTTCCACCCTGCTCATTACCATAGTGTCCATGATGTCAGCTGGACCTGTTTGTGTTATCTGTATCATCAAAGTTTAATAAGAACGTTTGTTTGGTAAATAAGTCGACTATCTTTTGGTGTAGACAAGGATTAATGGTGCATGAAGTCCCACTCTGGACCATGATTAGATTAGCTTGTTTTTCGGACCGGTTTGTTGACGGTACCTTCTTCTGTTTCAGTCATATTATTGCCGCAGGGAAAGGTTCATACATTCAATATAAACTCTTAACGAAATATTACCTGTGTGCATCATGTCACAGGAATTAGATATCGTATATGATATTGAATAACCGAAGTACCGTTCAATTGGTTAACTGCTTGTTTAACAAAAATTCATCATCAATATTTTGTAAGGGGAACATGATAAGATTCTTGACGTGTAATTCTAAGGAACTATAATAACATAACACACAACGCATTGAAAACTCCTCTACTACTTTTTCTAGGGAAACGTGAAATCCCACATTGTCAGGTCCACGCATATCTTTACAAAGAAAAGCACAAAGGTAAAATGATGTAAACCCGCCACCATTTGACAGAAATATTAGTCCATGACAAGGGATATATACATGCCTGTAATAAATTATGATCTAAAGCAAAACAATGCATTAATGTAACAAAACAACATCCAGTCACATAAACTGCACATATAGAAAAAGGCAGACACAACCGCATTCCTCTACAGCAAAGGATCTGCCAATTTTGTACTTAAGATAATATTGACGATGAATGCCATTTTGTAGTTGATTGTACTTTATATAGAAATGAGAGGGATTCCCTCTATACGTGTATAATAGATAGGTTCCCATACTTAAGACATTTAGACAAAATAGAAAAATTCACGTTCCTTATGAAACTTGACAAACAATGTATCATTAGCCCAAATGTTCTTACATCTATAACTGCCTAAAGAAGCGAGAAGTTGAACCTGTAGATCACATTAGTATGTATAGTTTAAGTGTTACTGTAGCTTGTTAGAGCACAAACATACGATAAAGGTCCTTCATTCATTTATTCATTCATCCATTCATTCATTCATTCATTCAATATTAAGGTAACTGAAATGTCTACAGATACCAGTTGAAAGTTTTATATATCTATGGTCAACCAATGCCATAGGACGTGCCTTTCTGAAACGTTTACTTTGCAACGTTGTGGACTTCGTTTTAATGTAAATCAACAAGGATAGCTGTTGTTTATCGAGGTAGTGTATCTGATGTACACTACTTTAGCAAGATATTTCAGATACTAGTCAATGATGTACGTTTTTTATTTGCTTATAAAAGTCATCTCTCAATTTAGTAAGGGGAGGACAGATACACATCGTGAAATGTTGTATGTCATCATTGGCGCCATTTTGTTTTCCAGTGAAGACATTGAAACGGACAATGACACAGACAATTTGATTGGATTCATTGTCAATTAGAAACGTAAAGCGAGGAGGAAATTCTCCTTTTATCACGTATAAATAGCTATAAATTTTCTTTTTTCTTAACGGTGTTTCCCAATGTAACTGGAAGGCCAACTGACCACTTCAGGGCACTGAGCTACAAATGCAAAGAGTTATTATTTTTACGGTAAACACTCCAGTACTTTTTGTAAAACATTGTATAAAGAAGACGTGCATTTGATATGATAATACAAACATGAGTTGCAGCTGATATAATAACACGAACATAAGTTACAGATAAGTTCTACAGATTCACTCACATTCACACACACTCACATCTGACTTCATTGTGGAGATTTCGTGCATCAGTAGCGATATACAACAATGCATCAAAAGCTTTTTAAATGATTTATGATTTCAAGATTTATCACAGTTTGGCATGAGGTTATTTTACGAAAACACATGTGTAACGATTAACAGAGTATGATATGCGCGAACTGAGAAAATGGCCCAGGGAAAAATCTATTTCGTCTTGCGTATATACAAATCTGTACTGAGCACCTCTGTAATATCCACCCCCATTCCGGTTCTATCTGTAGTGGTAAAGGGAAAAATATGTTATCGTTTGATATTGTAAATATAAGTATTGTAAACGCGCCGCATGGCTTTACTTTTCGCTGCTGTGATTTCTAGTCTTTGTGCCCCGTACTCATGTAGTCACGTCAGTAGCTTGAATGCCTTGAAAAGAGGCGAAAGGGCGTAAAATTGGAAGAGAAGAACCGTATTGAGACACAAAAAACAAAAGACCTGCGACACAGAGTCTTGTGGATGGCTTTTACTTCCCAATTTGCCCAGGGACTATGTGTCCTGGCGAGAGGAGGGGGTGTCGTCGGAAGCTACAAAAGCGAAGTGAAGAATAAGCGACAAAGAGTGCAGTTTGGGCCTTTTTTGTGTGTTGACTTTCTGAGATCGGGTGCCGCCGTCACGGTACTTGATCTCCACACAAAAACAACGTTCACAACAAGTGTCCGGCTGGAGTTCCTGTATGTACGCGTTGTGGCTCGTCCAAAACCACTAGATGCTGTTAGCCTCCGTAGCAGGCTTATAGAACTGGGGGTTTGGTGGTCTTCTGCTGTTTTATGATCAGCCCAGTTAAAAAAACGGGGTTAATTCAACCAAGCCGGCTATGTTGTCTATATGCAATCAGAAAATAGAACATAAAAGATCCCAAAGTCCCTGAAGACCCCCCAAACCCCCCGTCTTTTGCATGCTGTGGATGCTAAGATGCTGTCACGAAACGCTGCAGTTATCCGTACTGATATGTTATCTCTTGCTTGAAAAACTAGTAGTAAGACTCTATCCATACTTTGTCCATTGGAAACTGGTAAATGTATTAGGAAATCTCTCTTTTTAAAGCGCGGATTAGATCGGCTTGGTACCGACTACATGTTGCCCCACTCCTTGGACTTTCTTGTTTTATGCTGTGTACAGTTTGTATTCTGCTATTTACAGGGTTTAGCATATTGTAATACAAGAAGAATAGTCTTCTCCTTCGATTTAGATTCTACACAACAACTTTTAACGTCTACATCGCATCGCTGTCTTACCTCATTCAACAAGTTGCTGGGGTGACAATGCTTAAGTGTCCATATGCTATGAGCGCAATGAACATTCATCTGATACTGTATGTTTAACAATTTAATTGTACTCGAACTAAACCTGAAGTTTATGACAATCTTGTTAAGATCTGCTTTTGAATGAATGAATGACGACCTTTATTTCACATTTTTGCACACAGGGCTAAGTACAGGTCACAACAAAACATGACGAACATACAGTTAACAGATACAAAATAAAACTATTAAACACTATACAACTAACGTACACCTTTGATAATCTACCCCTGTGGTTTAGGTATCACCACATCTGGTTAGAACGTCTCCCAAGTCTGTTATGTCTGGTTGTATATGCCTGTAAACACCAGGGAAAGATCGGTATCAAACAAAGCACAAACACAACGTATTGTCCCACCATTAGTTTCCAACCTTCTTCAGTTTCCCAAAGTACAGCGATGAAGGTAGAACAACACCGTTTGCACAAAAAGGCCAACTCCTCGACAATATGTGAACACGTCCAACTATGTTTCCTGTTATTATACTTTGTTAGACAAGAATCTAACCATAAATTTTTCTATTGCCATTAAAAAGGTTTAGCTTTTTCAGACCTCGTCAACTAACTGAAGCCTGGTGTAATTTTAGCCCCGTATGAAATAGATACGATTGTAACGTACTTGTACTAGCAAGATTTGTTTTGTTGGAATTACTCTTTGAAAAAAATCAGAACTTGTCGTAACATATGGTGGTCCGTCATGCTAATGTTAGAATGGATATTGAACGTAACAGTAATATGTATAATGGCTATTATTATAGAATAGATATATCTGTATAATTTTTCTCTGTGCAAGCTAGCTCATTTTTTTGTAATAACCAGAAACATGTTTCTTTGTGCTACAGATGTTCATTTCACGTCATTTACACTGTAAAAGGAAATAATTGCGTCTTTCTAAGAAATAATCACTTTTTTGCCTTTAGGTATCAAGCTTTTCAAGTAGTTTATGCTACTCAATGTACTTTTCCGTACTTTTCAGCATTTTAGTTTTAATTTCGTGAGAAATCTACCAACCTTGTCCCATTTTGTTCACATCATTTCTGAATGGTAATCCTCAGACACACAGCAACTTACTATGGCTTCCCGACCTTCTCCAGACCATGGTTGGGAGTTAGTTGTGAGCAAGGTCATCTTCGGTCCGGGGTTGGCCGTCGAGGTTTCCTATGGCTACCAGTCTCTACAAGTCTTATGTGCCGGCAGTCCATGCATTTTGAAAAATCAAAGTCGGGAAAGTCATATTCTGATAAGATTGGAACTGGAGCTAGAACAGGATGGACTCCCAACCCAGCGCCGACCTTGGAATCAAGTCGTGAGACAGTCCTAATGTTGTGACTGTGGTTGTAGAGTCAGCAGAAATTTGGTGCAAGGAAAGATTTTTGCGCGCCAATGTAGCAGGGCGGTATCACTTGCGCAAAGTACGAAGAAACAGTGTACATTTAGCTACTGTACTGGCGTTGCTTTTATGTAGTTAGATGGCCATTCTAGCCCAGTAAAATATCGGGAAAAACGAAACAATCTTCTGTCATCTTCAAACGTTGGTGCTGAACAACGTGTATATGATAAAAATGATAAAAAAGTTTAGCGCCGTTACGTGTAGTTATACAGTTATTGTCTTTTCCCCGAACTTAAACGTAGACTCAAAATACACAATGAAAAACTTAACTGATGCCGAACGCAATTTCTAATGATGAAAATTATAAAACAGTCAGAGATCATTTTCTTCATGCCATAGTCACTATTACTTGCTGTACTATTGTTAATGCGCAATTGCTTGTAAATAGAGGTCAAACTTTTCGTGGCTTCCCCACAGTAAGGAAAGTATTCTTAACTTTCTTTCCTTTTTTAAAAAGACTTTAAGGTGTCGACGTTTGTAGAACGTAGTTCTTAATGTGTTGCAGAGACTTTGACGTTCGTTGATGGAACGGTTCAGTGTCGATAGAAGTCACTCTTTATTAAAATCTGTTTAAGTTCTACTTTCAAAGCTTGTTTGTGCGTTTCTACCCGCCATTAAGTACCGTTTAGACGGTGGAGGCAAATATGACATTTTTAAAATCGATCAGCTAAGCTTATATATTGACTGATTTTAGTAAATGATTTTATGGGAGTAAAGATAAAAACCTATATTAGCGTTCAAAAATATATCATTACATTGAAGTAAAGTTCGTCCCAAAATTGAACTTTTCCCCTTTGATTTGTCTTTAATAATTATTCCAATATTCCCGTCGCAGCACCGGCATAAACCTGATATTAAACTGTTATAATAAGATAAATTTATAACACTGCCCCTGCCTTAACTGTTTTTCTACATCGCTAAAACATGCTTAACCGGCCGTCAAGTCAAGTAGTGAAGTAGTTGTAAAATGCACAACTTTGCAAAACACATACATGTACATGCCTTTTTCTACACGATGATATTTTTTCCTGTTAGACATCCTTATGATATCTAGCATTTAAACATAATCAACGGTTAACCACAAGTGTCGTAATGACAACAATGTCTGAAACATATTTGCAGTAGAAAAGGATAACGCTTTTTGTTTGTAAGAAAGGTAGACAAGATAGACTTTTGCAGGTATTTTGGACTTAAGACCATAACCCTTTCAATATATATTTGTCTTTCTATCTCGGAATTATGTGTGGATACTAATATTTCAACAAGTTGTTCGTATTTTATCATTTTATAAACATGCGCAATTACCTTCTGTTCGCAAGTTGTTGAAAGAATACTCCTCGGTTGACGACACGGGTGTAAACGCGCTGGGTCTTGCCGTCGACGAGCTGACCTCAGCTACAGGAGACCGCAGGTCTGAACTTTCCTGTCGGCGCGTGTCGAGCTTAGCTCCGTAGGAATATTCTTGCCTGGCCGGTGAACACTGTCCGTTGACGGGCATGTCCCGAGGAGGACTTCTCTGTTGTGGCGATACTGTGTTCTCGGCATGAGTGTTCGTTGATAAGATTGCGTCAATGGAAAAGCTCGCGGGCCCGTGCCTCGGCGGCGGCCTGGGCGCGACATTCTCTCGGGAGGCGGGCAGTAGGCCCCCCGAGTCCCCCACTTGCTTCTCCCGGTTATCAGGCCCCGACATTTCGTCTGGCGATCTGGAGCGTTTCCTTATCACCAGTAGATCCGCCTGTTTATGTCACCTTGGGATCGCCTTTTCTCTGATCTGCTATCTCCGCAGTTGTTTTTCACAAATCTCTGACGGAACCTCGTCTCTATTCAGCCCAAACGATGTTCCTTTGCGTCTACAAGCTGGCTGCTTTGATGACAAAGTTTTGAAAGAAGTTTCAAAGGGCTCGTCAGAGGGACAAAATGCCGCTTGGCGCACGGCCGATCTTCTTTGAGCCCCAACACGCCGACGGGGAACTATCTTCAGAATTCTTCACAGTAAAATAAAAAGCCCCTTCAAGCCTATAATTGATTCTAACAGTTCCTGATAGGGCCACAATAGTCGCTTGCTGATGTAAAAGACCTTATTAATTAGGACTTCTAATGCCGTGCCGGGATGTACATCCGCCAGCGAGGTTGTAGGAACTACATCAAAAGAGAGATAAGCGCCGCCCTGCGGCTGTGCCGGAACAGCAGACACTGCGCCCGAAGGAAACACTTTCTGAAGATGGGTCACTGACCTGACGATATACTATATAGAGAGCCATGTATACAGTTATGGAAATACCGTCCGATATGAAACAATCTAGAAACTAGAAAGGCCGACATTTGCTTGGGAGCAAATACAGCATATTTCAGTCCATCTCCCTCCCACGCAAAAGTGGACTATTCCAAACTTACCCCAGTGCAAAACTGGCAAAGGTTCTCAAATAAATGAATTAAATAGTAGCTATATGAGAACAAAGATGCAACAACAAGTACTTTG